TCTGATCCGGGGGGCTCTGACTGGTCACTGAGTGTGTATATATGTCTGTGAATATACTGACAATATTTATGAATGTAGGCATGTATGTATGTATGTATGTATATCTTTATATATGTATGGGTATGTGTATATATTTATATATGCCATCCATGTATTTATCCATTTATTTTTCAGGTGAGCGGACAGATGTTGGGTGTGTGGTCCTGTGTTGTCTTGGTGTATATTTAATATACTTAAAGTTATATGCTAACTAAAAACAATTGCTGTGGAAGGCAAGTTCTKCCTTGCAAATATTGCATTGCTCAAGTTTCTCTTTAGTTTTCTTAAAATGATCCCACACTTTGAGCTCTGTTGCCAGGTAGCCATGATACCAGAGCCTGTCTGTATAATGTGTTGTGACATCCACAGCCTACCCCAGTTACCACTACTGTGCATGTGTGTCAAGGACAGAAAGGCAGATGTGGCAGTGGAAGGTGTCAAAGCAGTTTGGAGAAAAACAAAGTAAAGAACAAAAAAAAGAAAACAATTAATCGATTATTAAATTAGTCATAGATTATTTTAATCTAATCGTGGCAGCCCTAATCGTAGACATATAAGATATGATGGCTGGACCTTTCGTTGAAAAAAGTTCCATCAATTCAGGGTTCAATTCAAACTCTGTACCAAACAGAGAACCAGAGGAGTGGAGGGTGAGCGCATGCCAGAGGTCAGCAAATTTATCAAGCAAGAGGGGAAAAAAGCCTTCAGCATTATATAAAGTTTGGATGAGTGGTGGAAAAACAATAGTTCTGACCTTTAGGAAGTGGTTAAATGGAACGTTATGATCGACATCTTTCCTTAGTAGATAACTCAGCGACCATACTTTGGATTGACGAGCTAACGGCTAAGTCCAGTTGGAATTCTGCCTCTTAAAGTCGCCAGTTTCAACAAATCAATAATCAAACACTTAAAATTACCAGCAATTTCACACAAGCAGCAGCCAGTTGTAGCCCTTCTGGTGCAGACTGAAGGATTCAAGGTGGAATATCATTAATTCTACAAGAACTGACACGCTAAAGTAGAGATGTCTGCAATTCATTTTGGTCCCACTTAGAATAACCATTAGCTTGTCCAAGATATTACTGTTCCTAATTTTTCCAATTCAAAAGATCTGGACTATCCTTTTAAGCTGTAATAAAAAAACTTGACCTCTCTGCTTGATTTTTGTGAAGATGACTAAAATCCCAGTCAGCAACACGACAGTTTCATGTCGGATGAGTYGAACCAGCAGCAAAACATCAGACATACGAGCTTTGAAATCTGAAACACACACACTAATACTCTCTAGGYTGATAAAGATACTGCTGAGAACACACGCACACAATGAAGTGGAATGCTGCCGTCTACAACACGCACACGAACGACAAAGTTGTAGATGGTAATCTCTTAAATACAAATGCAACCTCTTCTGAAAGCATGCGTRAAGACATTCTGTTCATGTGCAATCCGTGCTCGTATCGGAGGTGCAATGAACGAGAAACGTGGTTGCAACCTCCACGGTAAAAACAAAACCATCGTGACGATCCCTCCCCCCCAATCCCACCGAGGCACATGGTATGGTCAATGTTTGGCAGTGGAGAGCTGTTGGCAACRAAAATTGTCAAAAGAAAATAAGAATGAAACGTACAAATCTTGGCAACTAGAATACATCATGATGCTGAACCTCCTTTTTGCCAGGTTAAGTCTGGAGCACTGCTCTGGCACTATGAACCAAACAAYGACTTTGTGGCAATGAAAATATTTAAGATACGTTTTTTTTTCCTGATCAACAGTAAAAAAAAATTAAAGGAGCAAACGTAATATTGATTCCTAACATTAAGTCTATAACAGAAAAATAAAAACTGACTCAGGTCGCCAGCTGTTGAACCACAAAACCAAACATCAACACGTAAGTCTTGACGGGGAGACTTACTGAAAACAAAACACTAAAACACTGAGAATCATATATATAAAATAAAGCTTGAAAATAACTATTTAGGAATATGCTCGTGAATACCTTTTTATATTTTTATATACACATACATATCTATTGTTTATATATATCAATATATCTGTTAAAATTATAACTTAAATCTTGCTTCTTAAACTCCCGGAAGTGACCGTGAAGGCACAGACCTAAGCTCAGTCCAGCGAGTGGAGAACTCCTGAGCTTACATCGGCACTAGAAGTCCACTTTCATCCCGCTCCGAGACGAGCCGGGAAACAAAACAAAACAAAAAAAGGGTAGAAGTCAGTCGCGCTTCCTGTTTCACATCATCTGTTTAAAGTTTCGCCTCGCTTCTTTCGTTTGTTTTTTGTCTTTTCTTTCTGTTTTTTTTTTTTTACAGTTAGCACCTTATGAGAGTTAAACAAAAGAGGAAAAATAAAATGATAGCATATACGAATGTGCAAAAGTACATCAATAAAAATACTACAAAGATATATGCTTTTTTTCTCAAAAATACAAGTGATACAAGGATAGTAAAAAAAATAATGCGATTGGAATAAGGATGATAAAAAAGTGACAAAAATAAAAACTTAAAGCATGCACTTGATCCTTTTAGTGTGTAGGATGGGTGAGGAAAAGTCAGGACAGGCCTATGTTTGGGGGAGTTGGCTGGTGCGACCTCGGGCTCTAGCCCTGGATCTTGCGGAGGATCTCGGTGGAGACGGGTGGGTGGAAGTTGATGGTGTGGTGTCTCAGGCCCTGTGAGGTCTTGTAGCTCTTGCCGCAGCGACACTTAAAGGGTTTCCTCACGCGAATCTGCGTGCGGTGACCGTTCTTGGCGTGGTATTTGATACCGTTGACATTCTGATTGAATACAAAAGAAAAAGTAATTATTACATTTTTTGCACATTTTCCACCTTTAGCTAAACAATAGCTAACAAAACACAATGAACTTACTGATGATCTTAATTGACTGGTATTATAGCTCATCTCA